CATCCCTTCGTTGGTATTAGCCACCCCATAATTATTTTGCGATTTTTATTGTTATTTTTTTATTTATTGATTTTTTTTCCATATAACCCCAAACAATTGCAGTAAAGCACTGAAAACGAGCCACCAAGAAGGCAAGTTAATCTGAAGATAAGTTCCTGTTAGTTTATTTACAAACACAATTATTTATACAATTATTAATATCGTTAGGATATTCATTTCCTTCATTGGCTCCGCGTCCAGCGTCACGTCACGTGGTACACGGCCATCAACTGGACCATAGCAGCTGTGCAGTGCAGCAACAGCGCGCCCTTTGAATCTCCACACAGTCATCGAGCTTGATTAGGAAAGTTATGGTTGCGTGCAGATACATACGGTGAGTTTGCCATTTGATGTCAGCGGTTTACATTTTCTTCACTTTACCTGGAGTGAGGAAAGAGACAATATAGGCCTAATAGCTTGTCTGATTCAGTAGGAATTACGTTACCATGGTGAACAAAGTCAGTGGTGTGGGAAAACACGATGTTGTTGTAGCCTACTAGCATCATTATAATAGTTTTGTCACAGGAGCAGTGATGGGCAGTAGCGCCGCTACATGTAGCGAAGCTATTAGTTTAACTACATTTTCAAGTAGCTTGACCGTAGCGTCGCTGCTTTATTTATCAAGTAACTTTCCTGTAGCGACGTTATTGTTTTGATCAAGTAGCGACGTAGCGTCCACAAACGCTACAAAATCCAGGGCAAAACTAAGAAATGAAACCAGGTTTTCTATTTCTAAACAACAATCAGCCACAAAACTACTGTAAATAGCAGTTTCAGCTGACGCTTTATAAGTGGCGTAGTAGCACAGGCACACTCCGTAGGGTTAAACAAGCGCACCTTTTCCGAGGCTGTCGTTCTATTGGCTGGAAAGGTTGCTATGCAACGATCCAACTGCAGTCTGAGAGAGCAAAACAAATCCGCAAGCAGAGCGTAACTGAGACCCGTGCAGAGCGGAGATGGAGGCAAGCGAGAGGAAAAAATATCTGTGATAATATAGAAAATATCTGTTTAAATCTGAGAGAAGAAACAAAGATTTTTGAGAGAAGAGAAAATATTTGAGAGAGAGCGCATGTTTTGAGTGTGAGCATTATAAGTTTTGAGTGCAAGAAGATGAAATTCTTTTCTCTAATTGAAGTTATGTGCTCTTGCATTATGGCAGGATAATTCTCCCATATCTATGTGCCACCAGTCTGATAGGGCGACACTGTGTGATATGGTAGTGCTTCCTTGGGTTGACTATAGTTCTAAGTTGTACGTTTCATATACTGTTGATTTTGTGTTTTCATTAATACATTGTACTTAAAAATACTTCCTTTATTTGCATTAAAACTTTGTCAGACTGATGTGAAAAAGTCTCAAGGATATCCTTCTTTGCAATGATGCTATTGCCTATTGCCTACTGTCCATTTATGCAACTTGTATTTTGTGGTTAAACTTTAGATTAAGCAGAAATCTATCAAAGATAATGCTGCACTTATTGTTAAGTTCCTCACATATATGTGTTTCTCTCTGTGCCAGGTGTAGAGAAAGACATGCCAAAGTCCAGGTCACACACACACACCAAGCACACACACAGAAACAGGGTTATTGCAAAGCAGACAGGGGTTCCTGACAGGTTGTGGGTGCAGGGGAGATGGGGAAAGATGAATGGCCAGGTTAAGGGTTTATGAAGATGTTGGGAGTCTGTTGGTTAGACAACTGTCTTCTGTAGAAGGTTTCCATTATGATGAGTGGCGAACCACTTGCCTTCTTCCATTTATGCAGTAATGCATGGCACCTACCATTTACTCTTTGTAATTTAGCACATTTTAACTGGTGTAGTTTAGTTGGTGAAGTAGCATTAGTGAGGGAAGTGTTTCCCAGGTATGTTGCTCTTAAAATAATGAATTTATAGACAGCGCCTTAGAAAGTGCACTGAAAAAATATCTTACCTAGGGGCTAAGCCACCCATGTCTCTCAAACCTAGTGACGGCCCTGGGCTGGAAGGTTCTCACCGGTAGGTTCAAGACGATCTGGCACAGGTAGCTGATCTGAATGGGGCTTATAAGCAGATGGCAACAGGCGAAACCAGTAATGAGCTAATTGCAGGTGAGGTGAAGCTGAACAGAAGTGCAGAGTGGACAGATAGGCCAGCCCCAGTGCCACAATATTACAGAGATTTCTGTAACATGTGGTGGTGCGCGGTCACCAATGGTTCCATTCAAGGTGCACAGTCACTATTTTTCCATGTGTGACGTGTGATCATATACTACTGAGAATTGCATAATTGTATCTTCCTGGCTGAATTATGAAACATACCCTGAACCTCATGTGTTTTACTTAATATTGTTGTGTCATTACGCCATTGACTGAATTACAGGGTCTGACCAGGAGATGACGCTTCTTTTTAGATCTTAATGTCCACAAATCATGACAGAAAGAACATTTTAGTACAAATATTCATGTTTAAAAAGGAATTGTAGGGGACCAGCCAGGGACCAGCCAAGTGCCCATCAAGGAAAGTGGGGAAATTTTGAATGGCTACTGCTGTTGTCTTATGATCATTAAACCCTGTGTGGTTAATAGATCTAGCTTATTTATTTTATTTCCATTAAGGCTGAGTTATAGTGCTCAGTTAATGGCGTTCACTGAATACGTTCATATTTTTAGTGAACGGTGAACTGAACAAGTCCATACGTCTTCAAATTTAAAGCGACTCATTGAGTTAAAGCATCCGAGCTATCTTGGGAAATATCTGCTACTGAATGAGGAACCAAAGAAATAATTTTGATCCAGATCTTTTAAGCTGAACCCGAATGTTCCACTGCATATCCAGTATAAATTGCCTGCATCCAGTATTTTCCATTTCATTCTATATATTTTTATTGCACATTTAAGGGTGTAATATGAAGTTCTAATGTGGAAAATTATTCATTTGATACTAATTATAATAATACATTGTATTTCAAAGGCGCCTTTCTGGACACTCAAGGTCACCGAACAAATGATAAAAACACAATGGCAGAAAAAAACTCAAAACACACAATAAAAAACATTTAAAAAAATACAAAGGCTGGGATTCGGAAAATTAATATTAAAGAGAATAGACCATTTTAAACAGATGAGTTTTGAGTTGCAATTTGAAATGGGGAAATGAGTTTGTGTTTCTAAGTAGGGGTCATAGAAAGTTCCAGAGATGGGGGGGAACAGCGGCTGAATGCTCTGCCCCCCATGCTGGTAAGAAGGGCAGAAGGGATGGACAGGTGTAAAGCAGATGACGATCTGACAGCAAGGGCGGGGGTGGGAGCATGCATTTACTAAATGGACTTTAAATAGTTCATTTATATATTTATATATTTTGCTCATTCTTATTAATTATGAACTGGCACAACATTGGTCATACATACAACATACGAGCCTGAACATGAGCTACACAGGAGACTTTTTTTAAGATCAAATGCTTTTTGTTAAGGCATATAATGTAACCAAGCACTAGGGCTGAACCATTTTGGCAATACTCAGTTATTATCTTTAACCAAAATTGCGACTATTTTGGACCAAGGTTACAAATTTATTTCCATTTTCCTTTGCCCTAACCCCAAACATGTTGTTTTTTTTCATTAACCTCGGCTTTCAGTTTTTGAAAGTCTGCTTGCCCAGAGTCCATTGTTGTACGACTTTACTGTAGTGTTTGCATGAAAAAAGCACTTCCTTCTACTTGTGTGCTTTGACTTGCATGCTCGCCACTAAAATATCTGCCTTTCAAGTGTTTTATTACCACCCAAAGCGCTGTAGTGAGAAATGTTGTGTCTTACTCTTGTTAAATGTAGTATGAATGAAATTGAACGCCTTTGCGATTCTAAAATTGCGTTTTGTTAAATTGCAATTATATTGCAAATGCAATTAATTTTTCAGCGCTCAGTGTGCAAACAAGGATTCTTCTTCTTCTCAGATGAAAACACAGAAGCATGGCGGGGGTGTGAGTGAAATGGAGTTCTTCCTGTAAAATTGATAGACAATAGTAGCCATGTTTGCTCAGACATGTCTTTGTCAAAAAAACGTTGTTGCCTTTTCTTTTCAGGGCTTTCAGCACAAAATCGCACAAATAGCCAAGGCAGAACGTTTCACTCTAGTGAGCTTCATGATCATCTTCTACTCGTTCGGCTTCTGGATAGACAAGTCAGAGTAGCGCCATGGAGCTGAGTAAGACGTGGTTTTTAGATGTACAGTTTGAGCAGGTAGATCGCATCAGAGCGTCGGGTCACACAGTGTGAGAACAAACATCATAAGCTGTGAACTATTAAACCCTGCAGTTTAATCTCACCGTGGAGCTGTAGCTGAGTTCAACGATTGAAAAAAAATCGCACAGTGTATGCCCAGCTTTACTCACAGTTTACTGTGCCGAATACAAACCAAGCTTTCTGTTTCTCCTTAGCGGCTCTGGGCTGTTCTTTATGAAATATCTCACAACCATCTTGAAGGGAAACCTAACACCTCCAACATAAAGACATCTGACCAACATTTCCTCTTCACTTTTGTACCTGCGTCACCCATTGAGTCATTAGTTTTATGCTTGACTCTCTAACTGCAAAGCAGTATCTTTATTTATTCATCTACCAGACAAATAAAAGTAACATCTTGACTGGAAGAAAACACCTTTGAGGTGCTTCATTATTAAGTTTGGCAGAATTTAAGCAATGACTATAATTACCTCTGTCCACAGATGTGGATAGCATAGTGTGATACAATACATCACAGCTTTTCAGTTTGTCACAAAGGTGTTATTGTTTCTTTTAACCGTTTGAATGGGGGCTTTGTCAGACCTTGTTTGAAGTGAATTTGCCTCTCTAAGGTCTTTTAGGCGAACAGCTGCAAATGGGAGAAGCCTCAGTGAACCATGTGTTTCCACGCTGTCTTGCTGGGTCAGGCAGTTTTTCACAAAGGGGCTGGTGCGGTCGTCAGGTATAAAATGGGCCCACCTCCAACAAGTTGACAAGCAGTCCAGTTCCAATAGCAGCAGCAACATCACCTGCGCTGACGAACTCAGACCAAAATGACCTCCACCGGCATGAACATGATGGGCAGGATCATCTTCTATGAGGACAGGAACTTCCAGGGCCGCTCTTACGACTGTACGAGCGACTTGTCTGACCTGTCCGCCTACATGAGCCGCTGCCACTCCTGCAGGGTGGAGAGGGGCTGCTTCATGGTCTACGACCGTCCCCACTACATGGGGAACCAGTACTTCATGAGGAGGGGCGAGTACGCCGACCTCATGAGCATGATGAGCATGATGGGCATGAGTGACGGAATCAGGTCCTGCCGCATGATCCCCATGTACCGAGGCTCCTACAGGATGAGGATCTACGAGAGGGAGAACTTCCAGGGTCAGATGCACGAGCTGATGGACGACTGCGAAAGCATCACGGATCGCTACAGCATGTCCAACTTCATGTCTTGTAACGTGATGGAGGGCCACTGGCTGATGTATGAGCAGCCCCACTACAGAGGGAGAATGATGTACATGAGGCCCGGAGAGTACAGGAACTTCACGAGCATGGGCATGAGCGGCATGAGGTTCATGAGTATGAGGCGCATCGTGGATTCCTTCTACTAGACAATCACACAAGTCAAAAGAACTCTTTCTGCAACCTGTGAAGAGGAGAGAAAATTAACCAACCCATCTAAAATGTAACTTAGAGGCTGAGAGCAGAGCTCACTAACAACTGGCTCTGGCTATAGGCTGGTTTTATGTGACATTTAAAAAACTAATAAATGCTCGTCTCTATATATATATTTTGTATGGCTCTATTTCATATCTGGTTCCTTAAAATTATCTTAACTCATACGCAAACAAAGTTTGCGTATGAGGTTTTTAATGCCCACTTCTAAACTGGTCACAGTGCACAGAACAGAACTTTTTAGGAAAAAAGAAAGACCCTTATCTTCAAAATGATGTCACCTCTCTGTGTTGGTGCCATTTCCTTATGGCGCCCTAGATGCGCTGCAGCACAGTGTCATGTCATGTTTGCCAATTAGACTCTACTTCAGGAAGGCTGTAAAAAGTTAAAGACGCTTCACATTTAGAAAGAAAACACATTTTCAAGTCTTAGACATTAGGCTGATGAAGGTTCTCAGTCATCCAGGTCATCGTCATTCCGTAAAAATTAAAAAATATCCACTGGACTTGGTTTTCAAGATTTGAAGACGTTCCGCCACCTCTCCGGGAAGCTTTCTCAATTCAAAAGGTTTGAATTTTTGAATTGAGAAAGCTTAGACATTAGCCACTGTAAATATATAAAAAAGTTGTCACTGTGCAGATTAGCCGCCACTTAGGCTACGTTCACACTGCAGGCGTTAATGCTAGTTCCAGAATTTGTCTTAAAAGCAGATTCTTTTGCGTGGTCGTTCATATTTACAAATATACGTGACTTGTATGTGATCTCCTGTGTGAACTGCATTCATACAACTTAAGGGGGAAGACCGTTTTTTTACATTGGCCCCTTGATTTTATTATTTATTATATCATGTTCTACTCACCCATATGAGTTTTGTGTCATTAGGAGCCGTTCTGAAGATGTTTGGTTTTGTTATATCCAAGTAACGCCTTCCTTTGGGCAACAAGTTGAAGGCACAAACTAAACTGTTCATAATTTATTCTTTATGGTACGAGAGCATTCATAACATTTAGGTGAATCACTGTCCCCCAGACATTCGCTGTTATATAGTGTTGGCCAAGTGGTTAGAGCAGTGCGCTTGTGCTCTGAGAGGGTTGCAAGTACCTGGTTTGATCCCCACTACCTGAACTCTGGGTTCCTGAGCAAAACCCTTAACCCCACTCTGCTCACCCCGTTACTCGCCAAGGGGATGGGTTAAATCCCCAATGTGGGAAAATAAAGCGATTTAAATTTACATTACATTTACATACTGGCAAACAAATCTGATTTAACTCGCTTCAGGCTGCAATGTGATCGTAGCCTGAAGTGTCTCTTAGTCTAACGTTTGAGCATCGCTCAGCCTATTATCACTGCTCATTGATTGGAGAAAGTGGGTGTGATGTTTACTGGGTAGGTCATGGTAGGTATTTCCTGGAAGGGGTGGATGATGACTCCTCTTAGTAGATCAAAAGACATTGCCATGACCTGAACTGACCACATAGCAGGACATTTTGGACATTAGGTTTGTTTTGTGTCACTAAGTCATGAAGCTATTCCTACCTAACCTAAGCACCCATGTGGGATTGTAGGGCACACAGACCACAACTTTAAAACACTGCACTGCATGTAGAAGTAGAAAACAAATGTTTACATTTTCAGCACCTCTTTGTGTCATCCAATTGTGAAAGGACTTGGTTTCCAATGTTTTATTTCTACAATCTGTTAATCATGGTCAAATTAATGGGCTAAATCACAAGATGTTTCTAGATGTCGATATTTGCAAACCCTCGCCAGAAGAGGCTTACTTGTCCACTATGTTTTTCCTGTAGAGATCTCTGTGTAGTTACACATTTTTCTAAGTGAGTAGTGCTGAAAATCTGGTTAGAAAGTGTGGGTCCTATTATGATGTAACATTGCCGTGTCCACCTCACAGACGTCCAAGTAAAGCATTAACCAAGCTTCACTTGGACATGTGAGAATGGAGGAAAAATACCACTTTGTCAAATATTTTGATAAAAGAATAGCATTATAATGTAGAAAGTCTTATAAAAGATGAAGCAGGATAGAGGTTCAGTCCCTATTTGCTCCTATGGTTAAACCCAACGCTGATTTGTCATTTTCAGAGACAATTTCTTACTAGAGAAAACCAAAAGAAGTAAGGTTCACAGCGTAGAGCAAAGGTCACAGATTAACGGACCAGGGACTGCATCTGGACCCACCTGCTGGCTAATCCAGACCCAACCTGATTTAAAACATTTGTAAATTACTGTATGTTGTCCGGACTGCTGGAGATAGGACCCAGCACCCCTCGCGACCCCAATTGGGACAAGCGTGTCAGATAATGGATGGATGGATGGATGGATGGATGTTGTCCGACGGCAGAGTCTATCTTCACTTGCGCCACATCTCCTGTTAATACGGTAAATCCCGCCGGTTTTTGCTGGACCAGGCTGCATGTAATACAAATGATCCAATGAGCTGCGCCAGTCTGGGTTGCTGCTGCTGCTGCTACTTTTAGACACAGCAGGCAAACCTGTGGCAAGCCGGGCGATGGGAAAGAAGGAGAAGACCATGAGAAAAAGAGAGCAGAGAAAGTGTGGACTGCTGGAAGAACTGTGGTGAACTGGTGAAAGAAAAGTGAAATGGTGCTCAAAGATGACCCTGAACATTTAGAAGATGTTTGGCTCAACCTGCTGCTGTGAAGCAGGATTCTCCACCATGAACATAATCAACAATAAATATGGATCCAGGCTCAAAATGAGCTCCTTGATATGTGCTTTAGAATGGCTTAGTCTCCATTCAAACCAGGTTTAAAGCCTTGCAGGGCAGCATAAAGCCCACTGCTCTCATTAAAACAGAAAAAGGTCAGTTCAGGTGTTTTATAAAATATGTGAATCAGGAAATTGTCTGTTTACCAAACTGAACGATTGTTGTTTTGTACTTCAAATAATACTTTAGATTTTAAAATGGAAAAATTATACAAATATTTTTTCATTTAAAAATTCAGTATATAACATGGATACATGAAAACCTTATTTTATTTCAGTGTCTACCAGTGTAAAAAGAAGCTAAAACTAAACAATGGTAAAAACATTAGGGCTCAAACTCCGCCTCACAGAGGCTGAAAGCTACAGTAGTCTAATGGTAAAGAATCTGTTCACTGATTACCCATTGAGCAGCAGAAAATATTTTATCTGAGATATAGAGAGGAAAGATATTGGACAATTTCAGAAATAATGAATGACTTGTCCTAGAAATAACTCTCCTTTATAATTTAATTCAAGCTTTGACATTCTGGGGCACAAATCCAAGGCAACAAACCCTTATTTGCTCAAGACCAATCATTCAAAAAGCTGTGAGAAGGGGTAGTCGTCGCACAGACCAACAAAGGCTGCTCCTCTCGCAGCATACAACTTGGCAGCAGAGAGAAGGCAAGGCTTTATTCAAAGGTGAAACAAGTCTTCAAGCAACATTTTAGATAATTTAGAGCTCTGGGCACTGAAGTTACTCAAAAGGCTGGCAAGAGAAGACTGCTACTGAGAGTCACGTCAAGACAAGACTCCCACCGTTTAGAGAACAAACAATACAGGGTGAAAGATTCAGCATTTCCAGGCCACAAATACAATTACCAAGGTAACTAAAACAGACACAGCTCACAACTTAGGCCACATTCAATCAGCAGGCCTTAATGCTCAATTACGATTTTTTTGTGATATCCGTTATTTATTTTATTTTTTTTACAGTGCCATTCAATTCAATTTAGTTAATTTATATAGTATGAATTCACAACACGTGTCATCTCAAGGCCCTTTACAGTTCACCAGATCATCCAGTCAGATTGATTCAAAGTTTTCTATCTAATGAAAACCAGTTGGTTGCATCGACTCATTGATTAAGGCTGCTTGGTTTTAGTCCCTCAAGGAGAACCTGGGGGGTTGTTTGGATGTATATGTCTTCTAGCCTACACATAATATCAGATGACGACTTACTACATGATTGTGCAACTTACTGTACATGAAGCCGTTGGTGTATAATTGGTTATAAAAGAGGGGGATGAAATACTGAATACTGGATACAATACGGTGACGGTACAGGTGTCAGAGTCTGTTACATGCAATGATAAAGGGAAAGCATGCTTACAATGATGCCCACCCAGTCAGAAAACATGTTCTTGCTACGTTGCCCCATGACAGAAGACCAGCAGATCAAATAGTTGACATTAGCAAAGCTTGATGCAGCAAATTCTTTATTGCAGCCCATGCACCAGTGGGTAGTATGAGATTTAATAGATGTTGGCCTGCACAGTTTTTAACCACAGCATAAGAGACTAAGAAACATAATACAGATATTTATTCAATTATTGACAGTAACGATTACATTAACTTGTAAAGGAGGGGAAGGAACAGGAAGCAGGAAGGAAAAGACGAAAGCGGTGTGTGAGGTGGCATCCATTAAGCAGTGTTAATTACATCACATACAGCTTTAAAATGGCTCATTCAAACAATGTTATTAAAGAGAGTGTGCAACATTTCATTCATTTCATGCAGCATGATATTTACAATTGATTGACTTTGTCATTTAAGGCTAAATGAGCTAATTGTGAATCTGCTACAATGATTAATAAAGGACAAATATTAGAGAAAACATGAAAAATATAGAAATCCCAAAGGCTTTTCCCTTCAGGTCAGCTTTACAGAGCTATGATGGTTAAAACAAGCCGATGCTGACGGTTTGTTTCTCCAGGCAAGAGAAACAATAATCACTCAGCTGGGGCAGGCAGACACTCTGCTGGATCAATTAAGGGCTTTTGCAATTTTAAAACCTGCCTTCTTTCTTTTGTTTATAAAAATAGGTTGCATATGCAATTGTACATACTGTTAAGATTCTGTAATCATCATGTCTTTTTATCCATTTTAAGTGTTTGTTCCACATAATAAATTTCATTCAGTTCAGTTTATTTCCATAGCGCCAATTCACAACACGTCATCTCAAAGGACTATACAGTTCACCAGATCATCCAGTTAGATTAATTCAAAGTTTTCTATCTAAGGAAAACCAGC